GTAAGTAAGAAGAAAGCATAATCTAGTTATAGCATGTAAGTCGGTAGACAATGTAGCTAACCAAGTTTACCATGTAACTATGCTGTCTACTTATAAATGTGTATGAAATGTACGTATAAAGTCATTTGTAATTTAGCAGTCCATTTTCACAAACAATCTTGTCTTTTGATAGTTGAATTCATGTTTTCATTGAAGTTAGACCACTGAACGCTGGTGGTCTAGCTTTAATTCACTGATGAATTCAACCATTAAATTACTATAATATCCACAAAAACCCTTCTCTGATTATAATCATCATATGCTCACTAGTGACTAGCATCGTGAGAAAATTCTCGTAATTCTAGTGAGAAGTCGTGACCAGTGGAGGTAATCCGTGTCGGGTAGAGACAGGTATCTACCTCAGTACAATGGAAGATTGGTTGAATTTAGACATTAACACTGTTGGATGCCGGCTATTCGAGTGGTCAAGAGGTTAAGCGTTCGCGTGCGAGCCTGAAGGTCCTGGGTTTGAATCCTGCGAGCGGGATCATGTATGCGCACTGCTGAGGAGTTCCACAATAAGATGAAATGGCCGTCCAGTGCTTCCAGATATTCAATGTTGATCTAACATCAATCGATTCATGATCTTAATTAAAAATCTAAGATTTGTACTGATAATTTCATCTCGTTTTACTAATAAAATCTATCAAATTGAACTGTTGTATCCAGGTTTTACATTGTATATGACTATTTAGTTCAATGTGTATTGAATAAAATTTATCAATACACTCCACCGTAATATTACACATGAATGATTTGAACTAATAATATCAATTATGTTATGCTATATGCATATCTTGTTAATGTATTGAAAACAAAAGCGATAAACAAATACATCGCTTCACTTTGCAAATTATTGTTTTGAGTTGTTTTTTTTATTTTATTTAATCAACTGGAAAAAACAAATTTGGGTTGTTTATTCTCTGAAGAAGTGGCTTACACTGAGTCACGAAACATCAGAGATATCTACGAATAAATATTAATATGCAATACTCAATTATTAAATCAAACCTTGGTAATAATGACACTTATAACTGGCAAAATATTTAAGTTTGCAAACTAGATGTATTTTCTACACAGTCTAATCCAGTTCAGTGGTCTAGAGGTTAAGCGTTCGCGCGCGAGACTGATAGGTCATGGGTTCGAATCTCATGGGGGGCGGTTGTGGATGCTCACGTCTGACAAGTCCCATACCAGGATGAAACGGCCGTCCAATACTTCCAGGTTTTCCATGGTTGTCTAGCTTCAATTGACTCGTGAATTCAATTTTTAAATTTTTCAGTTTATTTTCAGCTATAACTTGTGATGGAAAAAAAATTAGCAACAATAGGTATGTACGTACACCATATTAATCAAAATTATAATGGCAATTCACGATAAAATCGAGCTAAAATCCAAAAAATCATACTTCTCACTTATTTTTAGATTGCTTTCTCTCTTATTAGCCGTCTATTTTTTTTAGAAAAAAATGGTAAATGGTTATGTAAAGCGATTAGAGTGCTACTACCTTGAATATAGTCAGTCAACCGTAAGCATCATAGGATTTGACAAATCAGTTTAAGCTGTCACAATATATGAACATAACGAGATGTAACTATTATTAAAAAGAAAAGCGAGACTATAATTTATGGAGGAACCAATCAGGTGTAAGTTGACAGGTCTCGGATTTTGGCGCGAAATTCACTCATCCATTTAGCTAAATAGCGTCTTGTCATTATAGCTAATATAAGTTCGTGATGAAACCCTAAATCTAATTCCTAATCCTACCATCAACTGTAAATCATAATTCTAATTCCTCACACTAGTTTATAACCCTAATTTGGTCCTTGTTATCAGGTGAACACTCTCGAGATCATTTTAGTGCCACTCAAAGGTCGTCCATAAATTAAAGTCTTACAAAAAAAATACTAGAATAATAAAATTAACGATGTTATCAGTCATAGGGGAAAATAATGAATTTATGGAATATAAATAGTATAGGATAATTTTAAAATTTAAGATCTCAAAGATGATAAGGGTTGAATACATTTCCACCATTGTAACCCACTCTTCGTCGTGTTACTCGGCTTATTTGTACTCTTATTAGTCTGTTACTTAGCGTAATATATGCCCCAGTTGTATGTTTTAGTAAATGTCCTGAATATATTTGGTCGTTGTTTTGTTATACATCTTGAATATTTCATTTATTCTTGTCTTAAGTTGAATTTCAACATTAGTTTTGTACTGAGAACTCATTTTAAATGGTATACTGTCATAGTTTTACAGCACGTTTATTGCACAAACTTAGTTTTTGTATCTATTTAAAAAAGTATATAAATCATAATTTTTTTACTAAGAGAAAAATCTCCAAAATTGATGCAGTTCCAGTAAATGCTCATGGTATATAACGTTTGTTATAGCGGAATTTGGAACCGGTTTTTTTCATATTATTTTTAACTATAATTTTGTTGCATAGTAACTGAGTAACTAGATTTCTGTTTCTATGTATTTCGTTTACCATGAGCTTTCGATTAACCCTAAAACTTTTATCATATGATTTAATATTCCTAACTTCTTTTCAATCTGTTTATCACAGTCCCCCTATTCATACCGACTTTTGGCTTGTTTATGTATAACTGTTAGTTTCATTTTATGCCATGACGTGGTCCAGTAGCTCTGTATATAAACCATGTCTGTCTGAAGCATAAATGTGGTCGAGTCTCGTTCCTACTCAAAACAAGAGATTGCAAGTAACGAATCAAAAGGAACTTAGCTGCATCGGTCCAAGGTTAGTAATTAGTCAATTTGGGGATACTAACTAAACTGTCGCACTAGAAGCGAAACACATCAAGGTAAAGTTAGTTTTCCGGATAACAACTTGATATGTGACATTGGTCAGTGGGTCTAAAGACAACAGTGTAGTAATACAGATCTGAAGATATCATCTTTTCAAAATTACATAAAATGAATTATATGTAGATATATAGGTTATCATCTCAGTTTTAACATTTAAATTACCACTAAACTGTCTTAGGAGTATTTATGGGTAGTTCTTAATGATTATCTTCCAAATCCCTTCATCAACTAAACGATACCTTTGATCAATTCAAGATGTTGATGTAGTTTTGGTCTCTTTTCACCAGATGTGATAAACCGTTAATTTTGCCACATTACCTGAGACTTTGTAGAACGATGAAGAAGTTTGTAACTGCACTACTAACCTTTAGATTCTGTGAAAAATTTAAGTCTTAAGTATCGGTTTTTAAAAGGTTTAGGGATCAAGTTCAATGAAGTGTTTAAAAGTAGAAAATGTAGGTAATGATATCAATATTGTAGTGCTGAAACAGTACTTTCTCTGTAGAAATGTGGTATCCAGCTACTCAAAATGTTAAACAGTAGTATATATTTGATTAGTTTATTTTGATGAGGACGCTGAAAGATGATTTGGGAAAGGTTATGTGTTAACACTTAACTTGTAAGGATTATTTAAAAATAAAGATGATTAATTATGGTTGTCATTTAATAGAGGACGAGTTTAGTTCGTTCTTCATGAAAAAATAAATTACTCTATCTTAAAATACGCAATTTTGAATGTTTTCGTGAATTTCTGTAGATAATGCTATAAGTAGGTTATTTACCGTTTATAATAATAATTTGAGTGTTTATTAGTGCTTTAAAGCGTTTGCTTCCTAACGTTTATTTACAAAGACAAAACAGCGCATCACTTCATTTTGGATAATTTGGTTTCTGGGTAGAATTTCATTGATTGTTTATCTAACTTTAGGATCTAACATATATTCATACCCTATATAAGTTTTTGACTGCCATCAAGACCTTGGGATCGTGAAATCTTTGTTCTTTTGTAATTTTTATTCATAATGATTATCTTCAACAGAATCAAGCACACTCTGAAATCAGAGTTCCAATACATTGTACTCATAAATGCCGTATATACATAGTTATTCGTGAGTAATGAAGAAAACAGTACTGATACAACAGGATATATATCTTCCACAGTCAATTAAAGTATTTACATTCGATACATATACATGACTTCGATGCTTGACTATGTGTATCATTAATTGAGTTCAGTGTAACTAATATTCTTGGGATCGGTCGGTGAATAACATCGACTAAAAGCGACTAATTTTCAACTATATACTGATTATCATACTACTAAGAAATTAGATATTGATATTTTTAAGACGTTCTCTAAGATTTTTGAGTTCTACGGCTAAAATCACAAACTGGCCTTAGTTAGACAATTACTGAAAACGAGGAAGTAATGGACAACTGTTTCACTCAAGTATGAGACCCCACTGAAGATCATGCATGTTCATGCTCATTAAATCGGGCCCTTTTTGAATCTATTGTTCAGATAGTGTCATCGTATATATACCAGATCGGAAGATGCTAGGTTTGATTCCGTATGGATCTGTTATTATACAGTTCTGAAGAGTTCCAGATTAGAACAAAACAGCTTTTCATCACTATTGATTCTCACTGATTCTTCACAGATGATATTAAATTGTTTGCATTTATTATTTAGAAATTTTTTATTGTTAATAAATAAGTTAATTTTAATAGTTGAGATCATAAGTCATTTGAAGCTAGACAATCATGGAAGATGTGAAAGCACTGAACGGCCGTATCGTCCCATTGTAGGACTGCCTAAAAGGGCGCACACACGATCCCGCCCGGTGAGGTTTGAACCCAGGACCTATCAGTTTCACGCGTGAGTGCTTAACATCTAGACCACTGAGACAACTGGCATCCAACGGTGTTAATGTCTAACTTCAACCAATCTACGAAATTGAGCGACACATCCAACATTGTTATCAGTAAATTACTATCTCACAATAGACTCGGTTGAACTCCACTGGTCACTGCTAACAGTAATTAATAATTTAATTGAGTTAAAATGAAAATAATTTCTTCATTAATCTAATTTATTTGTTCTATCATTCATTAATAAATTTCAGGTGTTATCCGATCTTTAATAAGATTTAATAATCATACAGATATGTTATATGAATTCAATGTAACTGGATTCGATTGTCATCTTCCAATACCATACAGTTCTACAGTACCGGTAACAGTTTATGTAAAAGCAGTATGTGTATCACAATGGAATGGTAAGAGTATTATTTTTATATGTATATAGCTTCATCTAGAGTCATTAGATAATTGTGTTAAACTTTTCGTTATATAAGTTAACGATTAAAACTTTTCATAAATAGCCTACTTACTTTAGAGATTAAGAAAGTTTATGTAATTGACAATATATAGTTAATCAGTAATAATCAATATCAGATATGTGGTGAACTGCAAAATAATACGGTGAAAATAATTTGTGGACGACCTTTTAATGACGCTAAAGTAACGTTGAGTGTGTCCATCCTATAACTAGGACCAAATGGGGGTTATAAACCAATATGAGAAATTAGAATTATGATTTACAGTTGATCGTTAGGGTTAGGAATTACATTAAGGGTTTTCATTACGAACTGAAATAAGTAATAATGCCGAAATTCCATTTTGCCAAATGGATGAGTGAATTTCGCGACAAACTCCGAGACCTGTTAACTTACACCTGATTGGTTCGTCCATAAATTATAGTCCCACCATTTTCTCTTATTGATATCAGGTAGAAAGATTAGTTTTATAAATTACTCTGGATGACATAATTAAATGTGGAATGAAGCTTAAACATTAGTTTGTACTATAATATTCTATTTGCTTCATAATCTACTTATCAGTCAGATAATTAATAACATTCAACTGTTCAGTATTAACCAAAGTCGTAGTTATCATTACCATTGTGTTACTATTATTGTATCCGTGCAGTCACTTCGTTAAGTAATTCACTGGTATGACCGAATCAGTAGGAGTCCATGGATTTTCGTTCTATCCAACTGACTAATAGTCAACAGGACATATATGTAAACTTGAGAGCAATGATCCTCTGACATTGCATTTACACTTGTGTTACTCGATGATCTAGTCAGAGACTGTCAAGTCTCAAGCAACCTGCAAACTTATTAATGAGTAGTATTCAATTATGTGCTTGTACACCCAGTAGTTGTGTTGATGCACTCACATCAGTCAGTCTGCTTCAAAATTCTACATAGTTCTAGTTGAAGAATACTAATGCAAAGAAACCTAAATATTTAGTAGTTACAAGACAACTGATACAGAGTATCGCTTCACAAATCGATAAAGTCTTCCTTCCATAACAGTTAACTTGTGTTGTATTCAAACTTTTAGTCACGGTTATTTCATGTCTAACCGATTCCGGGATCAAAGTTTATAATCCTGTTCAGATGGGAAAATCAACCAAAATGAAAGGAATACTCGATGAAAAACGATCACAATATACTGAATGTGTCTGTGGAGGTCACAGTTTGTATATTGACTTCGTAATTTCTGTTTTATGCACAATATTTTTTCCAAACATGTAATTAAAATCGCTGAATGTTTTAATGTACAGTGAATTTCCACAAGCTTATTATTCTATCGTAAACTCTGGAAACAATATCAAAGTTTGCCGTTGAAAATGTTGTCGATAATGCTAGTCCAATAATTTTAAGTTCTTCCGATCTCACATTAAATGTACAATACCTTTAGTCCATGTCTGCTTACGTTACAGTACTGCTTCTTAATCAGTCTTTGAACTCCAAATGATCTTATACGCCTATTCAACATTTTTTATACATCAAATTAAAATGTTTCCAATCTATTAATGTAAATTGTAACTACATACATACTATTTTCCTACCGAAAAACTACTTTATGGGCTGAAAGTTACATATTGTTCTAATTATTCAGTATTGACTGAAGCGACATTTATTTATTATTATTATTATTATTATTATTATTATCATTATTATTATTATCAGTAGTAGTAGTAGTATTATGTACTATTTTGTGAATAATTTCCCCGATTAATTGAGTTTTTACCGTCAACATTCCATCTCCCATACACTACTAAAGACAAAAAATGAAATATTCATTTCCTTTGTCAATAGTTACCTAATCTCTCTCTCTCCCCCTCACTCCTACTCTTCCATTTAACATTGTTTAAATGGATTGCCTACTTACTGTAGGTTTATTACATAAAAATTCTGTATAGAAAAATTACTTAACCGTGAATAATATAGGTGTATCAGTGTGTATATGAATGTGTACGAATCTTTATTGTATATCTCTAGTCGCCTTTGTCTGGTTATTATATCATAATAGTATTTTAATGGAATAGAACTGTAGAAAGAAAAGATGAAACATTTATCTATTTATGTGTGTAAGTTTATGTACGTAGAAAGAAAACTTCAGTATTTTCAACAACAACAACAACAAAAAAAACACAAATGTTACATATTGACACTTGTAATTTTTAATTTTTCCATTATACTACAAGCTAATTGAATTTTGATTCCTCTAAATATTTGTGTATGTTCACGAATAACTGTGCTTCTTAACTTAATATAGTCACACACACACACCCATAGTAGCTCACCTAGTTGATTCATGCTTTTAGTTTTCTAATGTCTACTTGTATCCCGTTTATTTCATTTCGCCTTATATCGAAATATATTATATGATACCTATTGTTTTTGACGCTTTACTGTTTTAGTGATTAGATATTTGCTTTATTACAATAGCTTGAGTGTATATACAACTTTACAAATGATCAAATGAATATATCTTTGACTTATGCTCACTTTTAACGTTTATCTACTTATTTTAATTGTCAGACTACGTGATTGTAAATGAACATGAAAATCTTCTGAGAGTGAGATCCACATCATATGTTTTGGCCTATATAAGACTTGTCAGCTGAATGTATATAAGTCCCAGTGTTTATTTTTGTATTGGGACTTAAACCCATTACCCCTCTCATTAACCACTAACACATTAACCCCTGACTTACTGAATCCAGGTAGTATACAATACTTACTAATAACAGTAAAATTGATCGTGAGTTTTTCCTAAAAAAAACTGAAATATTGCACTTTAGTTTGAACTACTGAACAGAAAGCTGGTTACATTAAATGGTATTTGGATAATGTACGTCAAAGTGATTTCAAACTCAATAATCTGGTACTTATTTCTGAGGTGATTTTTGTAGACGCTTCAATACTTACTGAATCTTGTATAACACAACCGTTTTTATCCAGTTTTCTAATTAGTAACAATAACTACCCTATAGTTTACAAAATTATAAATTTGAGTCAATAAATGTAATGTAAAACTTCGTGGATTGGTTGAAGTTAGACTATAACACCGTTGGAAGCCGGCTCATTGGTCTAGTTGTTGAGCAGTCGCACGCGGGACTGGTAGGTCCTGGGTTCGAATATCGTGAGTGTGCACTGCTGAGGAGTCATATGATAGAACGAAACGGCCTTCCAGTGCTTCCACGTTTTCCATGGTTTTCTAGCTTCAATTAACTCATGAATTCAATTATTGAATTACAAACTGTTTCTTTGTGCTTTATATTTACTTTTTTTCTATCCTTTTACTCTTTACCATTCACTAAATCTCTTCTACTTAAATGAATATTTGTAATTTATCGATCCGAAGTGATAAACCATAAGTTAAAACAATTAATAATTGATTATCAGAATGGCTTTTGTGGAGATTTTTAGAAATTTCACAGGTTGAAATCAAGAGTCAATTGAAGCTAGACCACCATGGAAAACCTGGGAGCACTGGACGGCCGTTTCGTCCTAGTATGGGACTCCTCAGGAGTGCACATCCATTATCTCGCGTCCCGCGAGATTCGAACCCAGGACCTACTGGGTTCGCGCACGAGCACTTAAACATTAGACCACTGAGACAGCCGGCATGCAACAGTTTTAATGTCTAGCTCTAACCAATCCACGAAGTTGCGCCACCGTACACCATTGTCTTCAGTAGGCTGATATCTCACAACAGATCTGGTTGAACTCCACTGATAACGGCTTCTCACTAGAACTCCAGGAGTATCTCCTGAAGTCAGTCACTAGGGAGCAGTTGATTATTATCAGAAGGTGTTTTGTGGAGATTTTTACAAATTTCAATAGTTGAAATCATGAGTCAATAACTGATTACACAACTATTGTAATCATCATTACAATTTTAAGAAATAATATAAAATCGGTTACACAACCCTCATTATTATTGACATCAAATCTAAAAGTAGCAGAGATTAATAATATTGTGGTAGTTGCGTATTGTTTCCTTATAATAATCTACCATATGTGAGTATGTTTCCTTTTTGCACTACTAAACCAAAACAAAATGATTCTGATGGATGATACACTGTTTACTTACTTACTTACTCCTGTCACTCCTCGTGAATGAACGTAGGCCGCTCACCACCATTCGCCATCCAACCCTGTCCTCGGCAATCCTTCCCAGCTCCTTACAGTTGTTATTCATCCTTTCCATATCTGCTTTTATTTCCCGACGTAATGTGTTCTTTGGCCTTCCTCTTTTCCCCCTTCCTTCAGGATTCCAAGTTAGTGCTTGTCTCGTGATGCAGTTTGACGATTTGCGTAGTGTATGTCCTATCAACTTCCATCGTCTTTTCCTAATTTCCTCTTGAGCTGGAAGCTGGTTTGTTCTCTCCTACAAAAGGCTGTTGCTGATGGTATCCGTATCTGTAGTTTTCACATTTGCTCAGGTCTCTTTTCTTTGGAATCTTGATGAGGTGTCCTTCTTTACTGTCCATCAACACTTGTTCCTCCTTCCAAATCTTTTTGAATAGAAAGTGAAGCATGTTTGTAGTTCCTTTGATGTATGAATTCAGTGCTTCAACTGGTATATTGTCGAGGATACACTGTTTAAATCATGTTAATTTCGCAATGGAATTTCATGATAGACGACTATCTGGGGTAAAATTCATCTTCTTATTTCTTATCAATTTTTTTAAAAATTTACTTTTAGGTATCCCTAAAGAAATTGAGTATTCTGCATTATCAAATCCATATCCATTTGCATTGAATGCGAAATTTTTAATTTGTCCACAAACAAATAATAATTTTACTCATCTTATTAATACTGATAATGATGATACAATGAATGATAGCTCTGATCATTTAAGTGAAGGAATCACTGAATATGATTATTGTCCAATAGAACAAGTAACAATACGTATGAAAATTTTATGGAGTAAAGAAGATATTATTATAAATGATGATCAAACTATTCAACCATCTTCATCATTATCGGCGGCGGCAGCAACAACAATAGCATCTTCTTCTTCAGAATGTGATTTAGATTATTATTCAATAATGGCTAATCGTAAAACATGCAGTAAGTAATTGTTACTTGGTTTAGGTATATTTTCAATTGATTTTTTTTGTAGAGAGTTTATTATTTTCATTACAAGATAGTACCAGTTGGTGAACAACTATAAACTATCGAATTATAGATAACTTTGAACGTCTTAGATTAAAACTTCCGAATAGTACAGTACATAATCTGTAATTCGTGATTATACACTCGTTTTTACATACTAGCCTAAGGTCAAATGTTAGGTGAGAAGTTTCAGACGAGGCCACTTTATAAAAGGACTTCGATTGTGCTCTTCTTCAGAGTTATAGTGTACATATCTTTGTTATGCTCAAAAGAACAAATATATGAACGTCAAGGATTTATATATTTAATTATTCCTAGCCATTTCTCAATCTGCTCACTCACATAACTAGTTGGACAAGCATATTTCGAGTGTTGTATCCGTATTGGATGTCATGGATTGAGGCACTTCGTATTTCCAAATATTTTAGTTACTTAGTAATTTATAATTAATTTTGGGGGAATTAGAACTCTCATCGCTAAAAGTGGTAGTTATAGATTTCAGTTCTGAATTATTTCAAATTGAAAAGCATCTTCGGTTCAATCTTAAGACTCCCTAAGACTGTACATACCTATAAAAATCAATCCATTTTTTTAAACTGAACCAAGAGATCATAGTCTACTTAGTTTATGTTGGAGAGTTCAATCTCTTTACAATATAATCTATGATTTAGTAACTATCTATAACTAACTAAATAAAGTTTATGTAATTTATCTTTCCGTATACAAAGATCATCATTTGGTGGTGTCCAGTCCCAACTATCTAATATTTTTTGCCTCTTACTAACTTTTAATATTCGTAACTCAGTAAAGGCATTCATCTGTTTATTGATCGGAAGTTATAGTGCCTGGACAAGTTTACATGTTCATACGGGCAGACATACCTGAGCTAGGATGTATGTGTCAAGCGGAAATCGATTACGAACGCCATAGGGACAACTGTTAAGATTTTACGGTTATTTAGATATTTGCTACTCAGTTTAAGAAGACAGTTTGAAACTGATCTTTGTGACAAGTATACATTGCACACACCTGAGTTACACAAATAAAATCGACTTAAGCATATATGCCACTATAGAAGGGGAGGATTCGCTCCGCTTCCCTTCTTTTGTTGCCCATTAGTGTTAAATTTTAGTTATCCGACTACACAAAAAATGAGGATTTGAAATGCACAGATCAGAAACTCATGTACTCCCATTATACATGTTAGCATGAATACGGTCCATGTAACGTTTCTTTTTTGTCCAAATATGCACTATATAAACCTGAAAGATACGAATCAAATCAACATATTACCCTCAAAACCCATACATATTCATAAGTGCTACACCCTTTATTGTCCAGCACGAGTTAAAACCTGATTTTTGGATTTATTTTCACGATAGTGATTGTTTAGACCGATATCTATCGACTTCCCATGCTGGTTAATGATGCACAATCCTATACCCCTCCCCCAAGAACTACGTGAAGTTCTGGGTCAGATTTTACTCAGGATAGTGCACAGCAGTCCATTTTAACTACTTATGGTTGTAAACGATGGATCTCGAAGTTTGAGTACTTTGACACGTTGCCCGTATTCAACCACAGATAACTTGGAACCATTCCTCTCTTACTATCAAACCATCAATTTGGTCAAAACAACAAATTGACCAATGAAAATATTAAACTAAATTTATTAATGTACCATGAATGCCCAGTCATCGCTTATTTCAAAGGACTTAAACAATAACTATACTGGGAGTAAGTTTGAAAAAGTGTAAAATCAGTTAAAACAAAATATGCCAACAATGTATTGAGATCATTGATGCCCGATCTAAATAATATATGAAGATATAAATCTTAACACTAAGTATCTTAATCAATAATGACTGAAACCATTGGATATTATCATGGTTCGAAATCAATCGAAATGATATATTCTGTAGCCTAGTATCATTGCACATATTCACCATCTAGAGTTGTGTTGTTTTGTTTTTTTCAGTCGATTCTTCTCAAAGTAAAACTATCGATCTATTACCAGATATTGATGAACAACAACAATTCAATCAAAATAATCATATCAATTTACCAATTATTGAAACCATTCAAGGATTAAATGAATTGCCTAAAATCAATAAAAAAGGTTATCCATCTGGTATTTATTATTTTAATGGTTCCATGCATTTTGATTTAAACAAATTTCATAAATTACAACGATTTGATAATCAATTATTTACAATCAATTTTTGGATGAAACATTCACCAATATTTAATAAACAATATAATGAAAAGAATTTACTGAATAATCGGGAGAACATTTTATGCAGTTCCGATGAATATGGTAAGTAGCTGTTATTGTTATTGTTTTAGTAATTGATTGAGATCATGAATTGATTGATTTTAGACAACCATTGAATATCTGGAAGCACTGAATGGCCGTTTTGTTCTAGTGTGGAACTCCTCCTAGGCAGTGCGAATCCACGATCCTGCCTCGCAGGTTTCGAACCCAAGAACCTACCAGTCTTGCGCGTGAACACTTAATGTCTAGACTATTGAACCAGCCGGTATCCAACAGTGTTAATGTCTAACTTCAACTAATCCACGAAATTGTGCGACCATCTTCCATTGTGCTGAGGTAGATACCTGTCTCTACCTGACATGGATTAGCTCTACTGGTCGCGGATTCTTACTAGAACTCCGAGAATACCCTCACGTAACTAGTCACTAGTGAGCTAGATCACCATGGAAAACCTAGTGGCTTCAATTGACCCATAAATTCAACTACTAAATTACTATAATATTCACGAAGTCCCTCTTTCGTTATTGTTTGTTTTATTATTATTTCCCTTTTGAATTTAGATTACAAGTGAATAATATAATAGGTGAAGTGAATATTTCTTCTTTGTCGAATACAACTTTAAATACAAACTATGATCAGTTGAAGAATCATTAATTACCTGCTACTTTATATTTTGTGGATTGTTAGGTTAATATTGTATTCTATGAGCTGAATAGTTCCATTACACCATATCTTTAGCGGTTGTTTAAAGAAGAAGTTGATGATGATGATGAGAATGCCTTTTTGGACAGCATTTAAAGCGACACAATTAAATCATCCAGCTAATAGAATATAATCTGTATCATCACTAAATTATATTTTTTCATTATGTTGATAAAAATTTTAATGTATATGCTATTTTGTAATATTCTTTAATCATCCAGTATGACAATAACTGTTGCAGACAAATAATAAGCTTTTAGAAGTTCATTGTACATCAAAACATTATGCGATTTTATTTTGCATAAAACAGGAATTATGAAATCAATATACAAAAGATGACCTCCATAGACACATTTAATGACCATGTTAAGTTAAGTTGTTTAATTCCTTCTATTGTTTTCCCAGTTTATCGGACATCGAACAAATATCCACCTATTGTTTCATACTTGTCGGGATCGTTGAGAGGAATCACGTATAACTCTTTTGTGTCTTCATTGGTGAGAGACATATTTCGCTACAATGTGCGGTTGTAAATTTGATTTTTCTTGGTGGAAGAGACTACTACATTTGTAAAACTGTACCCGTTCTTTCTCCATAAGATTCCTTGAAAATCATTGTTATAACCCTGACTATCAGTTAGACAGGTCGCACTTTAAATTATTCACTATAGTGAAACTGTAGCATACCCCCAAAATAGAGACTCCGAAAACTGACTTTCAAAACTGGATATCATAAATCAATCGGTGTGTTGTTTCCGGCACTTTGGGTCGTGTTTTCGTTCATTTCGAGGATGGATGAATACTATAAATCGGAATATGATTTTCACCACAGACTACATTTCAAACTCCAACATTTATAATACATATGTCAACTGAAAATCACCGCGAGTGCTGGATACAACATACTGAATTAACGTTGAAAGAGTTGTGGCTGGTCTCAACCATGCTAGTTGGCATCAATTTTTTGAAGTTCGCTCAAACATTTGTCAACTGATTTGCCAGCACAAATGCAATTTCATTCCCTCTTAAAACCACTTATTGTAAAAACGATATCATTGGACTAATAGATACTATTGTTATTATAATTATAATCATAATAATTATTATTGTGTTGAAGAAAAGAATCGGCATCATTTCGCTGTGTTTCTGCACAATTGTAAACTGGTTGTATTGATACGTCGTGAACCAACCAATGAATTCACCCTATATTCTGATTCGTCTCAATTACTTCCATCTCAATGGCGTTTCGATGTCGACGAAGTATGCGATTCGAATTGGCATCATTATTCGTTGACCTATCGTCCCCCAGAAACGACACTTGTAAATGGACAAAAGACACTTGCATCCAACTCAGAAAGTGATATTGAAGTCAGTATATTGTGATCGTTTTTCATTGAGTATTCCTTTCATTTTGGTTGATTTTCCCATCTGAACAGGATTATAAACTTTGATTCCGAAATCGGTTAGACATGAAATAACCGTGACTAAACGTTTGAATACAACACAAGTTAACTGTTATGGAAGGAAGACTTTATCGATTTGTGAAGCGATACTCTGTATCAGTTGTCTTGTAACTACTAAATATTTAGGTTTCTTTGCATTAGTATTCTTCAACTAGAATTATGTAGAATTTTGAAGCAGACTGACTGATGTGAGTGCATCAACACAACTACTGAGTGTACAAGCACATAATTGAATACTACTCATTAATAAGTTTGCAGGTTGCTTGAGACTTGACAGTCTCTGACTAGATCATCGAGTAACACAAGTGTAAATGCAATGTCAGAGGATCATTGCTCTCAAGTTTACATATATGTCCTGTTGACTATTAGTCAGTTGGATAGAACGAAAATCCATGGACTCCTACTGATTCGGTCATACCAGTGAATTACTTAACGAAGTGACTGCACGGATACAATAATAGTAACACAATGGTAATGATAACTACGACATTGGTTACTACTAAACAGTTGATGATTGTTAAAATTTTTAGTTAATAAATCAATTCTTATTTAATAATGGATTATGAATCTCATTAGTGTATTCCCGCCGAAAAAGTCCAATAGTTTTAACTTATTTTCTGATGGAAAAAATAGTTTTTTTTCATCAGTTCGTCTAAATTTCAGGAACTTATGTGTAAAATTATCACAACCAAATATTTTACTTTTGATAAGTGGATAACCCAATTACACAAGATGATACATGATTCTTGTGTCAACATAGATAAATGGATAATCATTAAGATTTTGTCAAGAACTTCATCTCTATTTCTGGTCATTCACTTGTTTATTACTGGACCACTACTCTTTGTTATAATTTTAGGTAGTTACTTAGTATAGTGATCTTCTAAGGTTATTTATCGGAGCTTATATCGTCTTTAACTTGGATTCTCTGTAGTTTGGGAATATGAAATATTGTATAACGACACAATGCTTTATAGGTTAAGTGCTCACTCTTGGAGATGAAACTCGTGATTTCTATCTTTGATTAAGTTATACATATGAAATATCGAAGTCTTGGATTAGAATAAAAATATTTATTTACTACTTTTTAGTTTACAGTAGTAATCCTAGCCGAACTGTTATTAATTACACCGTTACGAAAACCACTCGGATATGCTAATCGGAACCTTGAATGTTTAATGTTTATATACCATCGAGTTCGTCTTTCAATATAAGATACAAAATTGTTTGCTCAGTTATCACATTCATTTTGGTAACCTTGATCATGTTGTGACTTATTGCCCTGTCCATATCACGTGACAAAAACCGCCAATCAGAATGTCGACTTCCATGATCTCTATGAGCTAACTAATAACTCTCCAACTAGCACTGATAGCCTTGATTCAACTCTAAAACACTATCAGTCCTTGATACATTAGTTCTCCTCTTTCCTCGTCTGTTGAGTTCAGAACACAGTATCAACCCCCGTTATGTATGAACCATATATTTCAGACGTACGTAGTTAATATACAAGCAGATCAGCCTGCATCACATCATCATATGAAAAATAACAATTCTACAAGATCAAGCCAAACGTGTCTGCGATATAGAAGACTATTACTAATGGAATGGGAATAAATCAAGTGGTAAATCGCATATTAGTAGTTAATGTGTCAAATGAAAGCTTATGATAAAAGAAATATGAACACATTTCACCTAGTTACGTAATAATTATACAATAATATATATAATAACAGTCCATAAATAATTCCTAGAAGGTACCATGTATTTAATCTTCAATGGATGTAACAGGTCAAATTACTGACGCATTATGAGTAGTTCCTGATTTTAGGTAGATCAAAATGTATCAGTTTTGTCATGTGTTTCATCATGTGAAAAGAGTAGACTGTTTTGAAGTTCTGTATTGCAAAATGTCCTGGCAGACTGATCAAATTTTTATATTATCTATTTTTCTACAGCGCAAATCTTGTAAAAGGTCTTTCATCTGCTAATTAATTATGTATCTTAACTGCCTAATTATGTCAATTGGTTTAACGCATATGTAAAAACGTACAAGCTATCACGAAGCTAAATACTACAACAGTTTAACGGAACTGCCAAAGTGTTTAGTGTATTTTCTTTCTTCTGCGTTCTTTAAACAAATAAGATGCTATTACATTAGGTCTCATTCATTAAATATGCATTATGTAATGTAAAATGTGTCATAGGAACAAAATTAGTTGTAAACGTTTGTATAAGAAGAGTAATTGCCACCAATCACTGTTTAAATAGATTTATTGTGAGCACTTACGAGTTAAACAAATAAACAATAAGAATAGGTTGTCATATTGTTATATTTATATCGATAATTATTTACTGTAACCAAACAAATGATACCTAGTAAATGGATGATCCATGTAAAATCAGTCAATGAGTTATTATCCACATAGAAGGCGGCGCGAAAGTGAATCAGCCCAGGTTGTCACTTACCTCAAAGTAATTCAGGTAATATTGATATCAACAATATTGACTGGATATAGGAGAATGCGGTTCGAAGAGAAGAGATTCATCCGGCCAATAAATAGTATGAATTAATGTTGAAGAATGCATGTACCTACTCCACCGTGAATGAGTTTGAACTATGCTATTCGAAAATCTCCAACCAACTAATCGAAGTTATTAAATGACCCTAACTAGGTAGTTTGCGTCTTTAAATACGGCTCACCTAACAGTCACAGCTTTCATTAACTAATGTCATTTGGTGCTTTGTCCATTTCTAGTTTTTTGTTAACCTACTCCTACACCAACAGGCATAACATGTAGACGTAGGTGGTGGTTAAGCATATGTAATACAAGTTCCAGCGAACTTACTTGATGAAGGTCCACAACCTCAATAATTAATTTTGAATATTTCACTAGTAGCTTATGTCTAAATTTAGCATTGTTCACCTAATCGTACCATAAAATAGAAGCATGGTCTCGAATACATCTGTGGTCAATCACTTTTAGTCTATGTTTCTCTTCTTCTATGAACTATGTTTCACAGCCATACAGAAACATATAGCAGACCACTAAACGATATACTTATCTTTCTATTGGAAAACCAGCATCTCTTCCATAAATGTGATCTAAATCAACAAAAACCAACTGACCCTACTTAACCCGTGCTAATACCTCACCAGACATCGGGGTTTTTATAGAACTGTCGACTAACAGGACGCTATTATTTACACATTCCCAATGTATGAGGAGAGTATACACTTGTGGTTTCCAACTTAAATGGCAGTTTTCCACAAGCTGTAAAACAGCAATTGTGTTTTAGCGAAGAGGCTTTAAAAATCTTAAATATCTCTCTGATGCATCCTCAAGTTACAAGTGCTATCAAAAACTCCCCGATCGACGGAGCGAAATGCCGAAATTACCTTGGCAAACAAGATTACATTCGGGTGTCGGTATGTGTTTTTGTTTTAAGACCTGTCAAATTTTACAAATCTAGTCAATACATCCTCTTATAGGTCATAAAACAGCTTGTTTCATACAGGTTTGGTCACCTTGACTACCATTTGGTGTTGACTGATTATATAGATTAACATTTGGGTACCGCATTAGTTTAGTCAAAATAACTATTCCGTATCTGTCACAAAAGCTTCTTGATCCTTTGATATAGACTGAGACTATCATCAATCAAGACCACTCAGATCACATCCTTCTTTCAGATCTTAGCTAATGTTTTGGTTAGCTCAACTACTAACACCAAATCACCATTCCTAAAGAACTCTAGAGTTAATCTATCATATATATATACCGACTAAGATGGTTGGGCCACTTCTTTCGTATGCCTGAACACCGATCACGACAAAACACAATGCCAACTGTTGTTGGAGACGGCTAGAAAAAAGTTAAAGTCAGCCAAGTCAAAACGTGGCATCAGTCATTGAAGTTACTAACTTCTGGTCTGAGCCATGTTGGTAGATGCAGC